TCAAACGGATGCACATGCAACACTTAGGTTTTGGAACAGGACTGCAATCCACAAGTGGACGAACAACCAGTACTTTCCTTGAGAGTTTACAGCTGGTGAACGCAAAGAACAAGAGAAACTTAACGCCGTCTGGTAAAGGCTCGTGTATATAAGTGTCTAGTCAACATGTCAGCTACAACAGTAAGGAAGTGAGCAGCATATCTATTACACAGCCTTAAACTATTAAGTATTAAGATAAAAGAAAGTGGTTGTATCCTCCAAAAGCAGATAGCGCTATTGCCTAGCCCTTCATCAGGGCCGATAACCAACTGCTAATCCTTGTTCCATACAAGAACACCGCTGGAAAATCGATTAGCGTCAATTAACTCCCTTTATTACCCTGGGAAATTTGGGTCAAGGGTGAAAATTGTATTAGCGTGGTCAGTACAGGAGGCAATCTCAGGGAAGTTGTCCAGCGTAGGTGATTTATAGCTGACCTGTTAACAGCCGTGGACGAACTGCCCAGCAGATACCACAATCTAGTGTAGTCACGTCACTGGGCTGACCAGCGGTTCTGGTATGTACATTACAAGTACATGGACTGAGTTTATGAGCTTGAGTCACGGCAGTGCTGTTCGGAATGACCAGCAATCTTGTAATTTGGTAATCTTAGTTTCAGCTTCATAGCAAACGGGTCACCCCATAGTTGCTCCGCTCCTGTGCCAAAGAAAAACACACAGAATGTGTATCACAGTCCCTTGTGGAAAGATTGACAGACTGCTGTCTCAGCATATCTGGCATACACACGCATTTAAAGCACACGCTAGCCATCCGAAGTGCTAACACAAACAGTCCGACATTAGAAATGCAGTTCATAATGGATGGTAGCAGACGTCACCAACAGATCAGCAGTTGCACACGCAATCAATTTTAATCACATAATGCCACCACCAACATTGTTGGGACGACAGGCATCGCATCATTTTCTGAATATTAAATTCACACTACCACGTTGGTCACAGTCGAAAAACATTTGAAATGAAATCGGCAGCTCACAGTGGCATGCCATGCACTCAACTCAGAAGCTGGGTAACGAAACTATATCCTTTCAGTCTACAAATGGAGTAAAAATGCAACGGCCACAGTCTGGAGGAAGCCAAAAAATTCCCACGGCTAAAAAAAGTGGCCGTGCCTAGCGTCTATTTTGACCGGAAGAACAGCATTTAATAACACTGATTTGGACTCGTTGCAATTAAGTATCCATACTGGAATCCAGGTTACACCTGTCGGATGTAAACGATACGATAACGCAGTTATCTTTATCTTCTTTTTTTTTTTTTCTTCCTGCTACTGGAGTGCCTCGGAGCATCAGGACAACAAGACTTCTCTTCAAAAGGCATATCTTTTTTTACCCCTGAGTGGGTTCCGGGGCCTTATTATAGGGCAAAAAAGAATAGACGCACTGCCTACCCTAAAGCATGTAGTAAGAGTTATTTTATTGAGAGCTTCCTTCGAAGTCGGAGTGCATCTGCCTAAGAGACAAGGAACCAGAAGTCTGCATACAAATGATTCAGATCTGTAAAACGGATGCAAACGCAACAATCAGGCTCTGAAAAAGGACTGCAGACATTTTCCACGCAACTGAAATCCTCACAGCGTTTAGTCTCTCGTATGACATTGCTGATGTCTCTCCTGTCCATAGATGGAACATTCTTGAAAGTCGCACTGCCAGCCAAATCCTCTGCTCTCTCTCTTTGCCTGTCACACCAGCATTGACTAGGACCAAAAAAAAAATAGAAATGTTATACCTGCTTCATTGCTTTCTTCATTAAATTCAGGACGGTTTAAGCAAATATTAAATACTTTATGTAATTATGACGCTTAATTTTTTTTCGTTTGATTTATTTACATAATTTCCTCCTACCCTAATGTTAAAAATAAGTTTTTGGAATGTTTACCTAGGGGATTCTCATCTAGATGGCGACTGTCTGTCTGAAGCGCTCGCTATGCAGTCCTGGAGGTGTTCAGCTTCACTTACCCACTCATCCATATATATATATATATATATATATATATATATATATATATATATATATATATATATATATATATATATATATATATATATATATTAGGGCTGTACCGAATTGGGTACAGCCCTAGTGATTTTCACTATTCCGCCCAATACGAATAGCGAGACCAACTATTCGGCCGAATACGAATACGAATAGTTGATCATCATGGTCAGGTGCCTTACCTACTGGCATTGGTGATTATGCCTTACCACAATCTGCGATCTCCTGCAGCATGTATTAGTTCGTGCGCTGACACACCTCCATGCCATGCAACAAGACTGTCAAGAATCTTCTCTCGTTGTCTCCCTCTATCCCTCCTTCCACAGATCTTTCCAGTGGTCACAACATGTTCCATTGTCCATCTTCTCATAATGTGCTTGAAATATGATGTCTTCTTCTGATGTCTGGGATTAGTTGTCTTCGGGCTCCCGCCTCTTTCAAAACCTCTTGGTAGCTTTGATTTTTTTTTTTTTTTTGGCTGTCCAAGGTTTTCTAAGCATTGTTCTGTAAAACCACATCTCTGAGGCCTCGAGAAATTGTTTGGCGTGCCTACCAACAGTCCAGGACTCACCGCCATATTTTAAAACTGAATGTATTTAGCAAGCATGTATTCTTTTTCCTAACCTTCAATCACAAAGATATATTGCATAAGATGTTCTTCATTTTATGAAATGCAGTTTTTGCCTGTCCTCTTTTCGACAGTGGCAAGGAAAGACAATTTAAATTTTAACTTATACGTATCTTCATGTATTCTTCAATAATGTCACACTTTATAGCTGACTTTTCTTGATTTTCGCTGCGGCACCCCTGGCATACGCACCCAGTTTGAGAATCTCTGCCTTAATGCCTCGGTCGAGTCAGCAGGCAAATACCTTGCCAGCTGCTGTACCACACTAACAGGTCGCAGTTTCCCCCGCTACGACAGATTTAGACAACAGCAACTATTGTGGTAATGAGAGAGTTATTTTAGTCCATCGTAGTGTATACAGAAACAGGTGTATGGTAATAACTATTCGTATTCGGCCCGACCGCAAGTATTCGGCAGAATACCGATTAGTTATTAGGTCCACTATTCGGCCCCGAAGGGAATACGACGCGAATATTCTGTACAGTCCTAATATATATATATATATATATATATATATATATATATATATATATATATATATATATATATATATATATATATATATATACAAATCGAAAACATTATTTCTTGCAGAGAAAATTATAGAATTAGTTTTTAATATTTTCTATTAATGTTTGCGTCTCCAGGTCGCATCGTTTTAGACACAGCGTTAGATAATGTAGAGGGATAAACGTGCCTGTTTACATATCATTTAGATATCATGCGAATATGGCTGAGGGGATATATTTTATGTGACGGAAAGAGAACGGTACTGATGGGTCTCCAACCAAATGCTCCCCGTGTGGGTTTCGGGGCCCTATTATAGGGAAAACAAGAATACACACACTCATTCCCTAAAAAAGCATGTCGTAGGAGTCGACTAATTGGGGGATTCTTTTGAAGTCGAGTGCATCTACTTGAGCGGCAAGGAATCTACATTCCTCATACAATATAGTGAGATCTGTAAAACGGATGTGCACGCAACACTCAGGTTCTGGAACCAGGCTAAAATCCAGAGGTAGACGAAGAACCAGAACTTTCCGTCGGAGTTTACAGCCTGAGAACGCGAACAAGAAGAGGAAGATACCAAGTGCTTTCATTTATTTTATGTGAGGAATCTCTAGCGCCCCAACATTCTTCTTCTTCTTCCTCCTCCTCTTCCTCCTCCTCTTCTTCTTCTTCTTCTTCTTCTTCTTCTTCTTCTTCTTCTTCTTCTTCTTCTTCTTCTTCTTCTTCTTCTTCTTCTTCTTCTTCTTCTTCTTCTTCTTCTTCTTCTTCTTCTTCTTCTTCTTCTTCTTCTTCTTCTTCTTCTTCGTCTTCTTCTTCTTGTTCTTCTTGTTCTTCTTGTTCTTCTTGTTCTTCTTCTTCTTCTTCTTCTTCCTCTTCTTCTTCTTCTTCTTCTTCATCTTCTTCTTCTTCTTCTTCTTCTTCTTCTTCTTCTTCTTCTTCTTCTTCTTCTTCTTCTTCTTCTTCTTCTTCTTCTTCTTCTTCTTCTTCTTCTTCTTCTTCTTCTTCTTCTTCTTCTTCTTCTTCTTTCTATTCCTCTTTTTTTATGTTTCATATTATCATTATTATCATCATTATTATTCCGTTTCTGCTGCAGCCGCTTCTGCTGCTCCACCTCCTCATTTATTTATCTGCTCTTTTCCTCATCTCGATCCTCCTCTTCTTCCTAAAATAAATTGTACTCTATGCTAAGCGATCGACTTGCCTCACCTGTTATTATCCCATTGAGTCCTCCTAAACTACGAGGCTTTTTGGATGATTTAGGGATTCCTAAAATACATGCGACCTTATAGAAATTTCTATTGATCGTCGCCGGAGCTACGGAATTTGTGCTCTGTGCGATGCTCTCGGCAGGCGACTAGCCGTTCTGCGGAAAGAGAGGCCTAGCTATACGGTATAAAACCCGGTACAATGAAGTCGATCTTCCCGACTTTTACTTCAACTTTTAACCAGCACGAGCAATTAAAAAATCCCACCCGATGACCTTTAGAACGTCAGGCAAACAATCGCTAAACCATTTCTTGCCATCGAGGCTTTATCTAAGACACGTTAGGGCTGACCATCTAAAGGCGCCAGTAAACTGACCACAGAGTTACTATAACCACCACCCTCGCCCAGTCTGAGTCCAATGCTACTGGGAGAAATACAGCACTGACCAGCGGTCAGCTTTATCATCCAGATTGTAATGATGCGTGTTTCTTTATTACCGGACAGCCGGACAATATTTATTGCTAACTGTTGGCGTCTGCCACGCTAGGATGGATGGAATCGGCGTGAATGATGTGTGGGTTCTTCTTCCGTTGTCTGAGACAATGTGGAAATGTTGTCATGCCTCGGTGACGTCTTCAGTGGGGGTCATTTATCATTCTGCCATTTCTTGCTTGGAACCATTACCAGGTGCCCAGCCTTCAGCGAAAAGGGTCTTTTTTGAATATTAATATAAGCATGGGCTGTAAGAAGCTGTATTTTTGCGTCTCTTGGACACCCGCTTGAGTTTATTTATTCAGTTTACCAAGAGGTGTAGCAGCCTTGCTAGCTAACCACAACCTCTCTTCTTCTTCTTTTTCTTAACTTGTAGTTGTTATTCTTCTTCTTCTTTATCTTCTTCTTCTTCTTCTTCTTCTTCTTCTTCTTCTTCTTCTTCTTCTTCTTCTTCTTCTTCTTCTTCTTCTTCTTCTTCTTCTTCTTCTTCTTCTTCTTCTTCTTCTTCTTCTTCTTCTTCTTCTTCTTCTTCTTCTTCTTCTTCTTCTTCTTCTTCTTCTTCTTCTTCTTCTTCTTCTTCTTCTTCTTCTTCTTCTTCTTCTTCTTCTTCTTCTTCTTCTTCTTCTTCTTCTTCTTCTTCTTCTTCTTCTTCTTCTTCTTCTTCTTCTTCTTCTTCTTCTTCTTCTTCTTCTTCTTCTTCTTCTACTTCTTCTTTTTATTCCCAGAATGTGTATCCACAGATGACAGCAGGTGCCCTCTAAGAAAAAGAAGAAGAAGAAGAAGAAGAAGAAGAAGAAGAAGAAGAAGAAGAAGAAGAAGAAGAAGAAGAAGAAGAAGAAGAAGAAGAAGAAGAAGAAGAAGAAGAAGAAGAATTCGAGGAAATAGAATAAGAAAGAAAGAAGATGAAAGAAGGAAGAAGAATAAGAAGGAGAAGACAATAAAGCTTATCACCTAAGAACCAATCGAAAGAAGTCACCACCCGTTTCCTGTAAGGACGAATACTTGTAGACAAAGTTACCAGGCACTACAAACTTCTGTCCGATACAGTTGATCGTTAAGCAAGCTAACCGAGTGTTCGAATCATTCGATTGGTGGCACTTCTAACAACGGTTAACCGAAACAGTAACCCGTCAACCCAACTGACCGTGTTCGCATCATTTTACCGTCACTGTTCTCAGGAGATAATTTCTCGTTTTTTGGTTCATTTTGAGCGTCCATCGGCTGTAAACTCCTGCAGAAAGTGTTGATTGTTCGACCACTTTTTAGACTTCAGTCTTGTTCAAGAATTTGATCTGGCTTACTTGTTGACATCTGTTAATGCAAAGGAAATTAAAGAAAGTAATAAGGGGTTAGACAGACATACATACATAAATAAAGCCAGACATATTCAAATCATAAGAATCATAAGACAGATATACATAAAGTAAGAAAGAAAGACATACATTATGAAAAAAGACAGATAGACTTACATTATGAAACAGACAGACAGACAGACAGACAGACAGACAGACAGACAGACAGACAGACAGACAGACAGACAGACAGACAGACAGACAGACAGACAGACAGACAGACCGACCGACCGACCGACCGACCGACCGACCGACCGACCGACGGACGGACGGACGGACGGACGGACGGACGGACGGACGGACGGACGAACAGACAGACAGACAGACAGACAGACAGACAGACAGACAGACAGACAGACAGACAGACAGACAGACAGACAGACAGACAGACAGACAGACAGACAGACAGACAGACAGACAGACAGACAGACAGACAGACAGACAGACAGACAGACAGACAGACAGACAGACAGACAGACAGACAGACAGACAGACAGACAGACAGACAGACAGACAGACAGACAGAAAGAAAGAAAGAAAGAAAGAAAGAAAGAAAGAAAGAAAGAAAGAAAGAAAGAAAGAAAGAAAGAAAGAAAGAAAGAAAGAAAGAAAGAAAGAAAGAAAGAAAGAAAGAAAGAAAGAAAGAAAGAAAGAAAGAAAGAAAGAAAGAAAAAGTATACAGACAGACATAAAAACGATAAGGAAGAAAAAGAAGAAAGATGGAAACAAACACAAAAACAAGAATGATTGTTACGCAGTTGTAGCTAAACGATTGGGCTTGAACCTCAAATCAAAGCCAATATATCACAATCCTAATTCTCTTTAAAGAAAACTTAACAAACCCTTAAAAAAAATCTATTGACTTGAAGCGTTCTTTATCCCCATCGCTTACTTTGTCACACCCATATCCATCTATCACCCCCAGTCTCTTGGCCTCTGAGAATTTCCAGTGTCCCCACCGGGTCATAGGGTACACATGCCTCCATGGAAGTTAAGGAAATGACACGCCAGATAAAGCATCCAGGAGAGGCTTTAAATTCATGACAATGAAAATTGCTTAAGATTGAAAGCCAATCAAAACACCCTCAGAGGAGCGGGGAAAAATATGGGTTTAGCAGAAGGTCTAGAGAAAGTTGGACGTTTCCCTGAATGGACAGCTGATTTATTCGCAGCCCTGACCCATGCTGACCCCTTATAATGAGTTGATAACATCGTCTCCAGTGGACGAATTCCGCCTCTGCATCAGTCACACCGTCCCACCTTCTTTGTTCGCCTTCAGTGCGGCCGGGTATGTACACCCTGCCTGACACACTGGGTTTCCCCCTGCTTCCTTGATGGGTTAGTTCGATGTTAGTCTCCCCAAATAGGGTAGGTCATCTTTCATTCAGAATTTTGTTGGGCTGGTCGACTTTCCTGAAGATTACCGGTGTCTCCAGCTCTGTTGTTTGGTTTTTGCGATGTCATGCATTTACGTTTTCCTTCCGAGACAGAGAATGCCTGTGACATAGGTTGTAGCACTCTCTAGGGGTGGGTTGTGTTAGACCCAGTTTTTCCATGTTTTTTTTTTTTGAGTGTTAAAAGCGCTGTCGTGCTAAAATATACAATACGCAATATCAACGGCATTTCGGAACACCCCCGTAACCTTGTGCGAAGGCCAGCGGGTTTAGGAACTACCAGTCAGCAGTGAGCTAGTGTGTATATAAGCGGGGTCTGGGGGAGACTAACGTCGAACTTACCTTTTTAGTGCATTGAAAGCACACAGGTCTCGTTGGCGATTAATCAAGCCGTTTGCTTTGCGCTCTTTATGTCGCGGTTTGTTTCACAGCTCGGCTAGGTCGTTCAGTTCACGAAGGCCATTTTGATACAAATCACTGGGGATCATCGCCAGAGCTACAGAGCTCGTGCTTTCTGGGACGCTTTCGGCAGGCGGGTATAATTTCAGCAGAGAGAGACAGAGCCACGCGGGAGAACATCTAATGCAATGAAGTCGATCCTCTTGACGCTGCAGTAGCGAACGAGCGAACGAACAAACTTTTTTTTCAAAGGCTTCAGAAATGGTCTACGCCTATATGCCCAATACGCCTAGATGCGTGGGAAAAGGCCCACTTTTTCTTTTTGTTTAGAATTGGGCAGTTACATTCTATCTAGTTTAACTGACTCTTTTGACACCTTCCTTCCTCAGTACATCATTCATTAGATACTTATAGGTATCATCTCTTGTCCCTCTTATCGTTTACAGACTGTGAACTTCGGTGAAAAGTACTAATTGTTCGTCCACTTGTGCACTTTGGATTTGTTCCAGTTTGAGCTTTGCGTGTAGATCAGTTTTACAGATCCATCTTTTGTGTATTATTTTACAGATCTGGCTGAGTTGTATGCAGATTGTTGGTTCATCAGCTCTGAGGCAGATGCACTCCGACTTCGAAGGAAATAACCCTAATAAGTCGACTCCCCTCCCTCCCCCCCCCCCCCCCCCGCCTCCCCTTTCAACCTCGCCCCCCCCCCCCCAAAACGGCACTCCGGAACCCACACGGGGAAACATGGCCTCGAAGTCTTCACTAATGAGGCAGCTGTAGAGAGCAGACGGAAGTACACTGAGGGAGAAACTTCCAGATTTGAATGCAAAAATGTGTGTTCACGCTTGAGTTGCGAGAGAGGATGATATCATCATCGATCATGAGATAGCCTTTATCTTCACGGGGCTTGACTCTCAAAGAACGTCTCTCAGTGTGACAGGCGGCATAATGTGGCAGGAGATATGGTGACATGCCATGGAGACTTGTCAATGTGGGAATGTTTGTCAATGTGGGAATGTTTGTCAATGTGGGAATGTTTGTCAATGTGGGAATGTTTGTCAATGTGGGAATGTTTGTCAATGTGGGAATGTTTGTCAATGTGGGAATGTTTGTCAATGTGGGAATGTTTGTCAATGTGGGAATGTTTGTCAATGTGGGAATGTTTGTCAATGTGGGACTGTTTGTCAATGTGGGACTGTTTGTCAGTGTGGGAATGTTTGTCAATGTGGGAATGTTTGTCAATGTGGGAATGTTTGTCAATGTGGGACTGTTTGTCAATGTGGGACTGTTTGTCAGTGTGGGAATGTTTGTCAATGTGGGAATGTTTGTCAATGTGGGAATGTTTGTCAATGTGGGAATGTTCTCCCTGCAACTGAGGTATCGCTCGCCCAATATAGGACCGCATGAGATACGTGTATATCACTTAAACCGATATATGAGATCTGCTTGTACTTTTAGTTATCATTGTTGTTGTTGTCGTTGTCTTCTTCTTCTTCTTCTTCTTCTTCTTCTTCTTCTTCTTCTTCTTCTTCTTCTTCTTCTTCTTCTTCTTCTTCTTCTTCTTCTTCGTCTTTTTCTTCTTTTTCTTCTTTTTTTCTTTGTCGTCGTCATCGTCGTCGTCTTCAACATTAACAACCATTATCATCTTCTATAAACGCACTCTTCCCACACAGTCTGTCTTCTAATCATCAGTGCCATCGTCATAATCTTCATCTTTATTATCTTCACTACTTTCTTCTTCTTAGTGTTCGCCGACTGTTACCTCTGACGGAAAGTTTTGCTTGTTTGTCCACTTCTGGATTTTAGTCTCGTTCCAGAACTTGAATTTTGCATTCACTTTGCTTGTGCAGATTTGCTTATTTGTATGCAGACTGTTGATTCCTCGCTTCTCTTAGATAAGATCCCTAATTAGTCGCCTTTGACGACATGCTTGATAGGGGTCAGTAGGTTTATTCCCCTCACCCCGTCCCCCAGTTTTTTCCGGAATCCACACGAGGTAAGCATTACATGATAAGTGATGAAGTGATCGCCGTTTTGTTAGTTTATTTGTTTCTGCCCTCCAGGATTGCGATCTGTCCATTCAACATCTTAAGGATGGTAATCAAATAGGTACAAATCTCTGAAACCCGTTCAACCGTGTAGCCATATAGGACATGTATACTGAAGCCCCCCTCCAACTCCCCCCCCCCCCCACCGGGCCGCGTTAGCGCTGTCGAAAAGTGGCTCGCTTTCAAATACAGCTGCCACTTGCTGCAGCCCGCGGTCGGTGTTCGAAACCGGGCGGCTCCCGGGGTTCACCCAGCCTCTAGGAAATGGGTACCAGAGTTTACACTCTTGGGTAAATGGAGGAGCGTCGCTGTAGTTACAGAGTTGCGTGCGAATGGCGACACGGGCGGACAATTCTTATCAACTGTCCGTACTGGTGGCAGAGCACTTATGGTTTAAAACCGTGTGCAATGACGCTGGTTCACATCTCCCGACTTTACCTTTTTATTAATACAGGAGCCCCACCAAACATTCTCGTTTTTTCTTCTTTATTTTTTTTTCCATACCGTGTGGTGTGGTAGTGATGTTTATTTGCACCCTTTTGTCTCCAGTGTTGCAGAACCAACCCCAGCATTTTTTGGCTGTTGTGGTTGTTTTTAGGCAAATTTTGCTTCTGAACTTTTTGGTCTTGGTACCACTAACAAAACCAACGCAAGACAAACGGCCCGCAGCTGGGATCGAACCCGGCACGCCGGCATTACGAAGCTCGTTCGCAACGCCTAAGCCACAGAAACCGACCGTAAGAGAAAAGCACTTTGAAATCGTCAGAGTCGGGCTGAAGGGCGCAGAAAGGTTTCATAGCATAACCGGAAAGGCACTACAGCACCCGATTCCTTACGTAATGCCAGCCACCGAAAATGAGAATGCTGGATGCCATGTTGACCTTGTTGAACCCTGCAAGGAGGCACAGTCTCGGGCCCTCTTCTCCGAACGAGCCCAAACCAAGTTAAGGTCTCGTCTAGTGGAGCCAGGAGAAAATTGCGGAAAGAAACGTCGACTGGCCAAAACCAAAGAAGAGATGTACAGAACATGTGCTACAGTTTTGCTTTCTACAAACAATAGAGCAGTCGTTCTAAACCCCCAGAGTGCCGCGACAGTTTATTAAATGTCTTTATGTTTAGGCAACCCCCAACCTTACAATTATTTGCTTCGCTACTTCATACCTTCGGTGCACATTTGTTTTGCTATGGTCTTTGACTACCCCTATAAAAGGATCGTTCGATCCAGAAAAAGGGTCGAGACACATAGGTTGAGACCGCTGCAGAAGAGAGATCCCAGGCTTGCCCGGTTGGCATTCCAATGTAAAGCACCCTGTGTGGAACAGTGGACGTCGTACGTAGCACCACAGAACTCATAGAGGTGTGTGGCCTTGCCGTGTGAACATCACTGACAAGGGGAACAAAAAGAAAGAAGAAATGTTTTGAAAGACACCAAATAACTGGCTCCCATCACAGTAATATAGATGATCATGTAAACCGGACAGCGATCTCATACAAAAATTCTTCTTCTTCTTCTGCGTTCATTTGAAGATGTATTTGCGTTGTGCCCGTTTACAGCATGGCTGCGATATTTGCGCCTCTCGGCCAATACATCCAACATTTGTAGGCATTTGTTGACCGGTTTAGCCTTCACGCTAAGCAAAAACTCTTTGGAAGTCATTGACGGATATGGTGTGAGGTTAAAATGAGTTATCAGCATCTAATAGAACTGTTATTCGTGGTCTGTCAACTTATCGTTATCCTTGGGGAGTGGGGAGGGGTGGGACTGACACTTGCGTCAGAACTTTTCTAATTGACTTGTAGAAAGACTGGCAAAAAGGAATTCACACAGACAGAAACGACAGCAGATAGATGGAATGAATCACCGAGAGTCTGACATGCAGAAAGAAACGCCGACTAGACACGGGAAGACAGACAGACAGACAGACAGACAGACAGACAGACAGACAGACAGACAGACAGACAGACAGACAGACAGACAGACAGACAGACAGACAGACAGACAGACAGACAGACAGACAGACAGACAGACAGACAGACAGACAGATAGATAGATAGATAGATAGATAGATAGATAGATAGATAGATAGATAGATAGATAGATAGATAGATAGATAGATAGATAGATAGATAGATAGATAGATAGATAGATAGATAGATAGATAATATAGATAGATAGATAGATAGATAGATAGATAGATAGATAGATAGATAGATAGATAGATAGATAGATAGATAGATAGATAGATAGATAGATAGATAGATAGATAGATAGATAGATAGATAGATAGATAGATAGATATAGATAGATAGATAGATAGATAGATAGATAGATAGATAGATAGATAGATAGATAGTAGATAGATAGATAGATAGATAGATAGATAGATAGATAGATAGATATAGATAGATTAGATAGATAGATAGATAGATAGATAGATAGATAGATATAGATAGATAGATAGATAGATAGATAGATAGATAGATAGATAGATAGATAGATAGATAGCTAGATAGATAGATAGATAGATAGATAGATAGATAGATAGATAGATAGATAGATAGATAGATAGATAGATAGATAGATAGATAGATAGATAGATAGATAGATAGATAGATAGATAGATAGATAGATAGATAGATAGATCGATAGATAGATAGATAGATAGATAGATAGATAGATAGATAGATAGATAGATAGATAGATAGATAGATAGATAGATAGATAGATAGATAGATAGATAGATAGATAGATAGATAGATAGATAGATAGATAGATAGATAGATAGATAGATAGATAGATAGATAGATAGATAGATAGATAGATAGATAGATAGATAGATAGATAGATAGATAGATAGATAGATAGATAGATAGATAGATAGATAAGGCAAGTCGGTAGTAGTTTTGTAGTTACTTGCGTCTTTTGGTGATTGATGAAAGAATGAATTGATGATTAGAGAGACGAATGGATTGGAGGGAAAAGAAGAAGGAGGAGGAGGAGAAGAAGAAGAAGAAGAAGAAGAAGAAGAAGAAGAAGAAGAAGAAGAAGAAGAAGAAGAAGAAGAAGAAGAAGAAGAAGAAGAAGAAGAAGAAGAATCTCTTTAAGTAAGCTCACAAGATTGTCCATGATGATACATTGTATCATGTATCATTGTACATGTTTTACAATTAAAAAAAAACTGCACTTAGATACCCCCGATACCTGTACTATAGTATTCCCCAAAATCCAAATCAATTTACCAGAGACAATAACAACCATATTAGAAAACAAATCAGCAGATGCTCAAGCGGGGACCAGACATATGGCAATAAAGGTATATCTCTATCTTTCAATCTATCAATGTCGCCGCTGCAAACAGCTCATAGTAGCAGAAAAAAGCCTCGACAATCCTCAGAGGAGACCGGACCTAATTGGAGATTGTCACCGCCATGATGGAGTCTCGGCTGTATTGGCTCCGTCACTGCGCCTCATAGACTGAGCGATTACTCGGAATCGGACATAGCGATTCCCAGGGTAATAATATCTGTTTGTCTACTATAGGGTGTTTGTAAAGTTACACTACATTTGTATGCGAAACACATTTAAGAACATAAAGTAGGTGATGTCATTAAATTTTAAAAAATGTGCTGAGAAAGCCATACAATTAGTTGCACTACTCACTGCTTTTTTTAGGAAAAGTACCAGTGAAATGTTGATTTTAGCAGGTGTGGAAAATGTCCACTGGTAGAGGCTTCAAGATCTGACTGTACACGTCTCTCCACATTGTCAAATACTTTCTGTAACGTGTCTGTTGTTGTTTCTTGAACCGGAATTCTCACTGCTTCTGTTTATGGCAACATTTGGTTTTAATGAAAATGATTACTTCCGCAGACGACAGCTATGCACTGCATATTGTATCGCGATTGGCTGTGTGGCAAATTTTTTAAGATTTCATGTGCTCGGTTTTTTTCAATTTTTTCCATATACAAAGTGTATCTAACTTTACAAACACCCTGTATTTTTGAAGGCGATTCTATTTACTACTACTACTTGTTGTTTTCTAATACGATTCTCAATGTTGTAATGTAGAATCGAGAATCAACATCATAACCCCTAGGGACACTCCCATAAGCGCTCCATCCCCATCTTCAGGAAAGAAACCAAGAGTTCCAATTCCTATGGTACCGGTAACTGATTGTACATCCATCTAGCTTTTCCCTCGCATGTTTAGCGTCGGCCAGACCCCCTGTTAACTCCCCGCAGCGACATTCTCCTCAGACCGTAATGATCTGGTTGTGCCTGCGCACTGTTCACTCGCTCCCAAAGGGCCCTAATAAGATCTAGCTTG